TATCTTCTTGTATAACCCCCTTTGCCACGTAAGGAAGCTGTAACTTTGTGATAAAAATAAGATAATTAGCTTAATTTTTCGGACTCTATTATCAAAGATCAGGCTACAAAAGTAACTAAGAAAGATATGAAAAAAATATCTTTAATGCCTGATGTAAAACACTTTTTAATGAAGTATAAGAGATTTTACGTAAATTTTACATCAGCCCAATAGAGGGCCAGATATCCGTCAATCAATCGATTGGTAGATATGTGCATAAATAAATAGTAAAACATAGGCAAACTTACCTGGGAAATCAGATCTACTGCTGCTTCCGAAAGCCCCAAGGGAAACTCAAGCTGAATTGGGGAGAATTCTGTCTTGGGACAAGAGTTATAAAGCCTAGCTTCTAGGTTTTTCAGCTGCTTGAGCCATAGTAAATTGGGATTGCACCAGGCTGGATGAGCCTCGGAGAACTGTACTCCAGTGAGTAGCTCGTAAAGACAGATTCCAACCGACCACCAATCACAGGCATATTCTATACCTGCAAGAGAAATAGAGGGAAAAATAAATAATGATGGTTTGGCTGAGTTGGAGGAGTATGCCGTCGACAATGCTTTCGACATAATGTGTATAGACGAAGAGATACCTAATTTCTGAACTAGTAAAATTATGATGTTAAGGATATTATTTGCTTTATATGTATATAGAGATATAGCTGGAACAATTAGCTACGTAGTGATTTGCTCATTTCGTTATTAAATTTAAACTTGATTTATTCCAAGTGTTGCATGGAGGATGAGGCATAAATACCAAGTAGGCTAGTAATTATATACCAGTATCCAACTTACAAATATCGTGGTTCTACTTGTTTTGATTAGGTTCAATGTAGAACCATGACATTTGTGAGTTGACACACAAGAGACTAGAGCATAAAGTAATAGACTTGGTATTATGGATAAAAACACGATAGATGCAGCGGAGACTAGAGCTAGTTGGCCAACAGTAGATGAGTTTGATCATAGACGTGGTCCATTAAGCATAGGCTTGACCATGAGAATTACTCGGGGTCTTTGGCGTCAAGTTAGTCTCCTAAAGGAAGAGTGTGGGAAATAATGCCTCGAGTACCACAGATAAGGTGGCAGGGGTCGAATGAAATACTTGAACCAGGGAGATAGCAGACGGATCCTATGGGGCAAAAGAGAAACTCTGATAAGACCTAGGGAAGGAGGACTGAGTAAAAATATGACAGATTCTGTTCAGCATCCCCAACACAAGGATGAAGGGGGGGGGTGAGAAAGCCAGTTTTGGGTGGTGAAATTTCATGAAATCCGCTCAAAAGGAAATACCATACC